TGTTCCCATTATCAGTCGAGGCTTAATCATATTATGATTGATTGCCTCCAAAACCTCCCTGTTCTTTTAGGATAAAATGTATCTTAACATGTCATATGTTATAGTTTTCTCCATTAAGTTTTTTCGCCCTTACTTAAATTAGCAATGATGTTTTTTTTGTTGCCATGTAGTTATTAAAAAAGACATCATATGCACTATATATACGTACATACATACATACATGGTAATATCTCAACGATACTTGGCATTGTTGGTCCCATCATCGAGTCGAGGCTTAATCGTCTTATGATCGATTGCCTCTAAGGATGGCAATGTGGCTAGGTAGGGGCGGGAATCGTCATCCTCGTTCCTACCCTACCCCCGAAAATTTTACCACATCCCTACCTCGTGCCCCAAACGGGACAAAATTTGTCATATTATCCCCACCCCAAACAAGGATGGGGATCCCTACGAGGCACTAACGAGGCAAAAAAAATTATCAAATTTTTTTTTATCTCTTCTTATCCCGTTCTATTATCAAATTTCAAATTATAATAAAAAAAGAAGATAGTTTATATAAAAAATAAATCCTAAAAGTCATTAGTCACATATTTTATATAGGGTATAATTACAATTTTAGGGATGGAAATCATAAAATTGGGCAAACGGGGCGGGGAGGGCAAATACGTCCCCGCCCCATCATCGTTCGCCAACGAGGCAGGGCTCCATCGGGACGGGGCAAATTGCCATCCCTAATTGCCTCCAAAACCTCTTGTTCTTTGTGGATACAATATATCTTAACATGCTATATGTTATAGCTATCTATCTCCATTAAGTTTTTTCGTCCCTATTTAAATCAACAATGATGTTTTTTTGTTGCCATTCGGTTACTAAAAAGACATACATACATACATACATATATATATATATATATATGTATATGTATATATATGTATGTATGTATGTATGTATGATTTCTTGAATTAATTATTAAAATTCAACATAAGATACGAAATCAATAGTTCACTATGTTTTCCATAATCATGCATATTCAAACATTTAATTTTAATAACTTAATTAAACAATCTGGGCTCTTTAATTTATCTCACAATGTTCGTTAAACATTTATGAAGCAATCAAAATGATATGCTTAAGCAAAATACAATGCTTCATAAATAACATATGTTCATACATATAAATTCTAAAATTGTCAAAAATTCGTTTATGTACCCTAGTCACATCGAGCATTGCATAAAATATTTTTGAGAATATTCTTAGAATTTATTTTATTAAAAATTCACTATTAATGAATTTCTTACTCTTTTATAACAATAATTGAAATAGATTTCTTACTATATCAAAAAATATTCAACCATGGATCATCACCATGTTCTCCCTCTGTCTCTCTTTCTCTCTCACACACATATGGATGAATTTTCCAAAAACAAAATCAAAATTTATTCACTCTATTTTAATTATTATGAATTTTTTATTATTTCGATAGAAAAAATCATAATAAATATTTCTAAATCTCTCAAAATAATTTTAATTTACCAACAATTTAAAACCGAATAACATGTTAACCTAGTAGTCTTAGGCATTAGTTTAAGCCTCAACGTTAGAGAGCGTGGGTTTAATTTTTACAATTATCAAAATTTTTGTTTTCTTTCTTTTTGTGTAGTGACCTTAAAATTCATAACATTATAATCAAATAAAAATTTATGGGTATTTTAAACCAATTTTAAGTGCCAATTTAAGACTTTAGGCCTAAAATTTGTGGGTTCAATTTCCATGATTGTCAATTGTTTTTATGCATTGTTTATGAAATTCATAACATTCCCTGTCAAGAATATATAAATTTCAACTCGCAAACATTCTAACATAATTAAAAATTATCTCATACACTTATAATATAAGTTTTATAAAAATTATGATATATGGATAATTCAAGAACGTACATTCTAAGAATTATCTCGGGAATAATTCTAAGAATTATTTTAGAAAAACTATTAGTTATGGTAATTAAAAAAAAATGCATTCTAAGAATTATAGAATAATCTCATGAAAAATATCAAGAACTTTGGATGATTCAATAACATGTATGATCATGGTAACTACTCTTGTCATACAAACTACCCAAAAAAGCTCTAATACGAATGTAATAAATTCACAAACATAGATAAATAAGTTTAGTATCAAAATAACACTTACATATAAGTAGTTTCACTAAATCAATACAGTACTATTAAATCACTATTTGAATTTCATAACTCAAGTAGCAAGATAATCTTCTTTTTGGTTTTTCTTATTTTGTAAGGAATTTTATAGAAAGTTTTTCTCTGTTTTTATTCTGTCATATCTCTTAATTAGTCCTCTCTTTTCCTCTACTGTGCGTGTGTGTCTATATACGAGTTTGAGAAATAATCACTACAATAACTACATAATCGTTGCTTGTCTTTTTATAAAAAAAATAATAATAATTTTGTCGGGTCAACCAATCATAGATGACCCAATCCAAACCTTTTTTTACTAACACATGCATATTGAGCCATGTAGTAGGAATAATCTTCTTGCGCTACATACTTAAGTTATTGTGACCCGAATTTGTTTTATTAAAAAAAATATTGAATATACAACGGTTAGATTATAACTGATAGCAAACACTGCAATATGCATCTTGAATTAAAATTTGATTTTTACACTGTAACATATACAACATCAATTTGTTTTCTTTCCTTTATATATTTCTCACTCTATCTTTTGATATTTTGATATTTTATTTGTTTTCTTTGATTAAAAATATATTTAGTAAAAATAATATTTTTAACAATTAAATATTAATATGTTTAATTTTTAATATTAATTTTTTTATTAAAAATATTAAAGTTTATTATAAAAAAATCACATTTGAGTTTCTTTTGAAAGATAGGTCCACCGAGATTTCCTTATTAAGTTAATGTGGGCAGCTTGACTAGTACGTGCTATTGGTGGTTGGAACCCTGGTCACTTTGCTCTAAAATAAAGATTTCTTGTCGAGAACCATCCTCAATGGCCAAGGTATTCTTATGTTATGTCTTTTAATTGGGTAAACCATCCCCATGCCCTTAAAGGGCTTTGGTACGCTGATTTTAGACAACGACTCAAATCAATAATAAATTATAAATTAGTTTCTCTTGTTTCAAAAGAAAATTAATTAGTCTTTCTTGTTTTAAAAATTAATCATTTAGTTTTTTATGTTTTAATTTCATTAATAACTTAATTATTTCATCAATTTTTTGTTAAATTAATGATTTTTTTTCCTAAATTACTTTTTTTTATGTTTTATTTTTTTCTTTCACCCACTTCATCTCTCTCCTCAACCAATAATAATAATAATAATTTGAGAACAAAAATAATTAATCTAACAGAAAATTGATGAAAAAACTAAATTATTGACAAAATTAAAATATAGACGACTAAATGATTACTTTTTTAAAAAAAAAATTAATTCATTCATTCTCTAAAGCAGAGGAACTAATTTATAATTTACTATTAAGATTCACGATTTGAAAAAAAAAAAAAAAAAAAAAAACTCCTTTCGCCAATGTATTCTTATGTTATGTCGCTTTTGCTTGGTTTCTTCTTGTCTTTGTCATTTAACTACTTTTTTTATTAATTTTGTCCACAAAATTGTCTCATTGTACCTTTGTGCTTCGTTAATGAAAACTTAATTAAGATAAGGAAAATTACATATCAAATTGTGGCACCGAAAGGGGAGGACCAGGCGCCAATCCTTCCAAATTTCCTTTTCGTATTTCATACTAGTTTTTATAAAGCAACAAAGAAAATAAAAGCAAAAGGAGAATTTTACCAGACTTTTTAGTTTTTCCACCACCCCTTTCTGCTTTTCTTTTATCATCGGAAGGGACAAAATGAAAGGGAAATGTCATCAATTCCATACTGATTTTTCAACCACCAAACTGAGCATATACGCTGACACGACATAATTGAACGCATCAAGGAAGGAGAAAAACCCTAACGCAAAAGTTGTAAATACTTTTTTATCCACAATTTTCATTTTGATTTACCACAATAGCTCTCTCCTTGAAGTAATACAAAAGCGAAAGCTAAATCTTTCACATGCGTTTGCATCTAACAAGAATAGTACCATCTCAGCATATTAAGCTTTATCAATCCCAGGCATAAAAAAAAATTGTAACCTGGCATCTAACCTCTCAACAAGGGATAAAGAATCTATCCATATCTTATATCCACACTCCCCACAATTCTCTAGTCCCACTTGCTGTATTTGGAATCCACAGCACAGGTTTCAATTCCATTCTCACACAACCCACCAAAGTAGAGAGAATCAAAGAGTACTCAAAACAAAGTAAACAAACAAGCATGTCCACCAGAAGTTATTGCGATAACAACAGCAAAATAGTTACATTAAGATCATTATAACCCCACTTTCCTGTAATCTTATTGTTCCAAAACCACTTGAACCAGAATAATTATCTAGAAGTTACTAAAGAAGACGAACATGTCCATGTTTACATGAAAAAATGGTGCAGATCGAAGTACAACATAGCCTTGAAAAGTCCTCCAATAGTCTCATGCCCCGCTATTGATATTGCAAAGGTCAAAGTGACTAAAAGAGATACACAAAACAAACCTGACAATTTAACTTAACATGTTGCTCATCATTGTTAAAAAAAAAAAAAAAAAAAAAAGGTTTAAAATGACAATAATAGAATTCTAAAATGTGAAAATATTGGAATAAAAAATACACCTAACCTGGGCATAATAATTTTTCATCATAACCCAGCAGTTATCTCACCCTTTTCTAACTTCTGATGTAATAATCAAATCATGAAAATGAATTTTCCTTTTTTGAAGCGATTCTCTCTCTCTCATTTCCCCTTCCTTTTTGTTACTGTTACCATCAATACCCGCTACTAACAAATTCATCAAGAGACACATGCAATTATTTACCAAAACCTTGAATTTTTTTGCTGCCTCAGGGCTCGGTAAAACTGATTTTAGTTTTGCTGAGCCACAAGCTGGTCAATCTGCAATTGCTCAACCCATGACCCTACCACATGGTCTAGGTCAATGGATTCTATTTGGGAGTTCATTTTTGAACTCTCACTCGACGAAGCACTTGTGGCGACACTCCCAGAGACTGGCATTGTTAACTTTTCTTTTATCTCAGTGGGAGATTCCTTAACAAGTGATTGAACCCATGATAGATCAGGCTCATCTCCATTGCCAAGCTCAAACGAATTTGACCTGCGGAGCTTACCCAGCTCATCTGTACTAACAGTCCAGTCTGGTTTCCCATTCGAGGAACCCCATTTCGACCAAGTGTTAACTGGGGAGCCAACAACGGCAGCAGCGTTGGAGCCTAGTTCCCTAGAGCTGAGGCTACGGAACTGCTGTAGCTGCTTCTCTCTTTGAGCTAACATAGACACCCGAGAGCCCATTGGTGAGATAGGTTCCACACTTCGAGGTGACATCCTGCCTGATGCAAAAGAAGCCTGCAACAGAGGGTGATCGGCATTATTAGGAGAAAAATTTGTGTTGATTGGTGATAACATGGTTTGCTGCTGCTGGAACTGATTGAGAACTGCAGATTTGTGGGATGGAGAGAAAACCGCTGAAGCCAATGCTTGATCAGCATATCGAGGAGATGAGCCAGCATACCGAGGAGATGAGCTCTCAGCAGAAAATAGATCATCGAGGTTTGAAGGAGTTAAGGTTTTCAATCGGCCAGAGCGATTCAAGGAGTTGTTGCTCAAGGATGGTTGACTGAGACTGGAAAACTCACTCAGGAGCTGCTGTTGCTGCATATCAAAATCCGGAAGCAAGTTGTAGTCTACTGGAATGTCTCTCGCATTAAGGGAAGATCTCAGGCGACTGGACTGCAGATTGCTTCCAGGGAGATGCAAGGCTGGGACATTTGGTTGGGGCCAAGCCACAGAAGAATGTGACATGCCATTGGCAGAGGGAGACATGGGTGGAGTGAATGGTGAAGGAGACATGACAGATGCAGCTGAAGGGGAGCCCGGCAAGAGGTTCATGGCAGCAGCAAAATCCATGGCAGTAGCACCTGAAGTACTAGAGCGAGGAGAGGGAACAGCAGAACCGGTGGATACATATAATGGGCGGAGTTCCTCAACGGTGTGAGCAAAAAAGCAAACTCTCCTCGCACAATTTGTACCATCTTTGCACAGCCGGGTTCTGTACTGAGCAGGGTGAAGCCAGCACTCAAAAACCCCATGAGCATATTCACACATATCTCCACGTCTACAAGCCCCTTTACGAAATTCAGGGCATGGGACACAGCTATAATGAAACTTCCTAGGATCCCTTCTTCGAGCATTTTCCCCTGGGTGAACAAATGGACACTCGGTCCAATCATGGGAATAGGCACGGGAACAAGGCCTTACCTTGAATGAATACATTCGGAATTCATCAGTTGAATAGATGCTGTTCTTGATATCTGGAAGAGATGGATCCACAGGATATTCTTTCTTCTCTGATGCAACAGGTGCTTCATTTAGTTTTGCCTTCATTGGGGAATCTGAACCTGACAGAGGAGACCCATTTTCCAGCGAAGGCGAAAGAGGTGGAGAGGTTGAATTCAATGTGGCTATGGAAACCCTGAGATCGTGCTCAACAAGAGAACAATCAGAAGCAAGGAGCTCTTCTAGAATCAATCTCACATCTTGGAGCTTTGGCGGAACAACAATAACATCAATCGGACGGCGACCATTGGCATCTAACAAATTACAATCAGCACCAGCTGCTAAAAGCAGTTTCACAACATCAACAGCATTCACAGCTCCACCTGAAGCAGCACAGTGAAGAGCAGTGCTCTTGTCAACACTGCAAGAGTGATTGACATCAGCATCAGATAGAGAAAGAATCACCTTTATAACATCAATGCTACCATACGTAGCAGCAACCATCAAGGGAGTCCTGTATTCATTAACCATCTGCTTAGAGCCCTTTTGTCGACCATACCACAGTCCAATCTGATCAACACAAGAAGGATCATGCCCAATAGCTCGCTTAAAGCCCTCAATATCGTTGTTAGCAGCAAGCTCAAGCAAGCTTGCAAAAGTATCTTCAGTCTCAACAGTTAAGTGATTCATGTCTATGTTAGATGGTCTGCTTTCGTCAAAAGAAATTGTAGGCAGTGTCGGAGTTGCTGCAAGCTTCAATCTCTCCAATCGACAGCACATACTTTCATTTGCTAAAACTATAACTGGAATGGAAAAGCAAGCCCGTTAGCATTAACCTGCAGGGAAAAAAAAAATCAGTACTCTATCATCACATAATTGACCCAAAACAGCACCAAAATTTATCATTCATACAAGTATAGGACATGTTGATGAACCAAATCAAACAAATGAACAATAAAACAACCTCCTTTTCACCTATCAGTAGAACAGAACACAAAGTATAACAATTACAAAGAACACATAAAAAAAGAAATGCTGAACAAGTATTATAGGGAAGTTAATGGAGCAGCGGCGCACCCAGATTAGTATAAAACCATTGTAATAGGCAGTAGGAAGTTACCAACCCCAGCTAATAATAAAAGTTCTGTGTTGCAAAGGATCCAGGAAACATCAAAAGCACTAAATGACACAATTGAGCAAATCATACTCCAGCAGAACAATAGGAGAAAAGCTCAGATACAGGATCTTATTCTTAGATTTTGTTTGCAAGTTTTTATTTGTTCTCAGATTGACCAAAAAAGAAGTGTAATACAGGCAAATCCCTAAAATGACTTACTTTGGCAAGCCTTGTCCTATCATTTCCATCAACGAAACGATGGTACACATATATGTTGCAGGTTTTTCTTTCATCATCATTCTTTTTCAGAAAAGTAATAAAATTCCATTAAAGAAATGGAAATGAAAACATTACAATCTCGAGAAGATTTGGATTCTTAACTGTGTGAAGGTCCAAGAACAGAGAAGAGAAAAGAAAAAAGTCCGCAATATATGATTCTTTGATCTCTTCATACAAATTGAAGCACAATAATATATATATATATATATATATATATATAGAACTCAGCATACAAGATATGTTCAAATATATACTCTTTTTATCCTTTTCTCTTCCATCTTCATTTCCTCGAGTTTTTCCAGCAACCAAACAGAAAACTGAGGAAATAAAATTATAAACAAAACCAGAAATTTTCATCGTAAAATAAGATTTAAAAAAAAACTAGTATCACAAAAAAAAAAAAAAAAAAAAGAAGTCAAAACACTCGGATTGAATAATCAATACATACAGAAATATAAAAGACAATATAGAAAACAAAGTGCACATATAATCTAACACTGAATATATCCATTTATCATCAAACCATTTAAAGCAAAAACAAAATTAACTAGAAATAACCAGATCAGGAACTTGTAAAAGATCTGGTTTTTAGAGGCAGAAATCTTCACTATTTTTTTTTTTTAGCCAGAGAAAGCAAACAAGTCAAACAGACCCCAGAAAAAGAAACATAAACCCTTGACAAAAGATCATTCCTTCATGTGATCAATCAAAAACTCTAAGTATCTCCAAACGACAAAGCTCAACTAAACACACAGACAAAAAAAATAAAATAAAAATGAACAGATGAAACAAGAGAAACCCAGTTGAAGAAAGATAGAGAAGCAGACATGTAAGTGATCAAAGCGAACCCAAGTAAAGTTTCCTTAAGGTTGCAAGAGGGAAGCTTGCTTACCAGTTTGTTTAGTTCTTGCTTATAAGAAAGTGAGAGTGAGTTTTTTTTTGGCAGATCTAGACAAACTATCTTGACAAAGTTAAAGTTTCAAAATTCTCTCGTTGTGTAAGAGATAGAGAGAGTTTTAGAGTGAGTGACAGAAAGAGAGCACTTTCATCTTCTTCCATCTTCAAATCCTATGTTTTCTCTCTCTGTTTTCTTTCATGGAAAAATACAAACAAACAAAAAAAAAAATTAAACTATTTTTATTGTTTGGGTTCTTTTTCTTTCTCTCGTTCTTTCTTCTTTCTTTTTTTTTTTTTCTTTTTTTAATAAAATGGCATTTCCAATAAAAATAGGAATGGCCGGGGATAGTCATGAGTACGAGTCTAGTTTTGAATATTAATACACTCTCTCTTATCTACCAAATAAATAAATAATTTAGATATTAATAATCAAATAGACCGAGATTTGGATATCATTTTCTGAATATTATTTATTTTTTAGTATAAAAATAAAAAATAATATATATATATATATATATATATATATATATATATATATATATATATATATGTTAAAGACAATTATAGATATTAAAAAGAAAAGGATACATAGACATCTGAAAAAAATAAAAGATTTCTATTCTGTTCCTCTTTTTGTTTAGTCGCCCTTTGACCTACGAAAGGGCATATACTCCAGGATTTTATTTTCATCTGAAGAAAAATATATATAAGAAAGATCACATTAAAAATGAAAGAATAAAATAAAAAATAAAAAGAATTTTGTTTTCTTTTGAAGAGAAAAAAATATAAGAAAAACGACATTAAAATGGAAATATAAAATATAAAATATAAAATATATATGATATGGTAGTAGTTTAATACATATATATAAGCCACTTTCGGATGGGTTTTCCAATCAAATTTATAATATTTATGCAATATTTATTATCTAGTAAAGATTTTAGATGCTCAAACTCAATTCGAAATAATAACTATTTATTTTTTTTAAAAAAAAGCACCGTTGTTCAGATAATATTCATATCATTCGGATTAAATTATCACTTCTTGACAAAAGAGAGTGCGTAATAAAATAAAATTTTAAAAAATATAAAAAGCATTGTATTGTGTGCACTGCAGTCTACTTTCTCTTTTCGTAAATCTACCATGCATTTAACATTGAGACCGATGTACCCTTCTGGGTTACCGGGTGAGGGTGGAAAGGTCATTCGGGAATAAGCTTAGTGGATGAGGTGGCAAATTGTGAATGGTTAAAGGTGGATTAGAAGAGTACGACTTGAAAAAGGAGCTAAATCCTCTCCTCTGTAATAATTTAAGTATCTAGCCCTTGTCTTTAGGAGGGGCTCAAATTTCTTTGGAAATTCCACGTAAATTCACCCCACGTGATTGGTAAATTTTGATAGGTAAATATCAAGGGCAGCCAGTTATGGTAAGACAAGAAATGCTACCGGTTGACTTGGCACAATAGCATTGGATAATGTTGTTTGAATGACATCATTTGAGAAAGAACCACTTATGTCCGATTGAAAAAAGATTTCCGTTGTTCCCTACTCACAGCTTGTTTGGAGGTCCTAAAGCAACTGTCTTTTCCTTTTCTTACCACGAAAATAGTACCAACGATTTCGTATATATCTTTATTTTTTTTATTTTGCGTTTAAAAGATCCTTTTTCTAATTATTTTTTTAATATATATATATATTTCATTTTAGTTATTACTAAATTTTTTATCCGCGTTACACTGCAGATTTGATACAATATATAAAATTATTTCGAAAAATCATTTTAGTTTGATAATCTGTTTTATAGTATGAGTCTATAAAAATATATGAAATTAAAGATGAAAAAAATATTTATAAATTTTTAATCAAAAAATTTGTATTTAACTTTTTCTTATTTGTATTTTTCATAATTTTTTCTTTGAAAAAATGATTTATCTTTGTTAACCTATGTATTATTAACTAAAAAATAATAATTTTTTAAAAAAAATTTAGTATTTCATAAGATTGTATCGAAAAATCAAAATAACAATTATTAAAAGCTTACGTAGAATTGAAAAAATAATTTTTTTATTTTTATTTCATGTTGATGACAATATCGATTTTTGAAAAAAATATGAATTAAATTTTTATATATTTATTTAGAAAAGAATGAATAATATTAAAATAAATCAAAACTATTAGTAAATATAATTTTAAATTAATTGGATGAGAATTTAAAAGAAATTGCAATTAAAGCAATAAATTTTACATAATAAAAATAATTCATAAAAAATACTAAAACAAAAATGGGACTAAATTACAATATAATTAAAGTTTAAAATTAAAAAAAATATAAAAAAATTGAGGACCATATAATTTTAAATTAATTGGATGAGAATTTAAAAAAAAAGACAAATTAAATAAAAATTTTTTTATAAAGTGTTAGTATTTCATAAGATTGTGTCGAAAAATAAAAATAACAGCTTATTAAAAGCTCACATAGAATTAAAAAAATAATTTTTTTATTTTTATTTAATATTGATTAGAATATCAATTTTTGAAAAAAATTAAATTAGTTTTTTATATATTTATTCACAAAAGAATGAATAAAATTAAAATAAATCAAAACTGTCATTAAATGTAAATTTAAATTAATTGCATGAGAATTTAAAATAATAACAAATTAAAGTAGTAAATTTTAAATAATAAAAATAATCAACAAAAAACACTAAAACATATCAAATCACAATACAATTAAAATTTAAATTTTTTTAAAAAAAATTATATAGAAAATTTGAGGACTCGTATAATTTTAAATTAATTGGATGAGAATTTAAAAAAAAAAAGATAAATTAAATTAGTAAATTTTAAATAATAAAAATAATTGACAAAAAAAAACACTAAAACAAAATAGGATCAAATCATAACATAATTAAAGTTTGAAACCGAAAAAAAAAGATAAAACAATTAAGGACCAAAGTGTAAAAAAGATATAAATATTGAAAGGAATTGTGATTTGTAAATGTGTGAATAGCAAAAAATACTAAAACAAAATGAGACTAAATCACAATACAATTAAAGTTTAAAATAAAAAAATAAAAAATTAAAGATCAAAGTGTAAAAAAAGTCATAAATAATTAAAAAATAATAATTTATGAGTATATAAATAATAAAATGTAAGTATGTGAATAATGTTTGGCACAATAACTATACGCTTTGTTTTAGTTTTTTTTATAATTACATTCTTGTGTCAGTCAGTTTACTAACCCCGTTAAAAATTGCATCTGTCATATGTTCATAGCATGAAATTTTCATTGATAGATTTTGGTTGTAAATTTTAAAAAATTATTTTGGTCCTTATATTTTATTTATTCTTACAAAGAGGTTCTAAATTGAAAGTTTTTTATCAGCATATTTTATAATAATTATAATTTAGTTCCTAACTTATTTTTTTTCCAATTAAATTCCTACATGTCATATCATGAGCTTAGACAAATTTTTCAAAATAAATA